TCAGTGTCACAAGTAGCCACTCTGCGAGATTAATGTCATAACCTTCCATGTATGTTCAGGTAGACGTTTTCCTAGCAAGCAAAGGAAATTTTTCAGAGGGCACAGGAGAACATCCACAGTGGGAAAATTCAATAGTAGCCAAGGTTGAGCCCTGGCTCAATAAGGGAGGACTATATTGAACGAAATCCAGTAAGTTGTCCAAACGTCCATCCTGCTTCCTAGTCATTTCTTCTTTATTCTCTACCAGACCTCATCCTCTTCCAACACTCTCATCCTTAGTTATCCCGTTTAATTCCACAAGAGACATTAGCTTGATGAAGACCCATAGATTTACCTTTGGTCTTGACATCAGAAAACTAGATCTGTATTTGTACCACCTACTTGAAATTTCCACTTATTAGTCTAAAATGCATCTTAATTTAATATTTATAAAACAACTCAATTTGTCTTTTCTCCAGACCTTGCCCTGGTTCCACTTTTCCTCATCTCAGGTGCAAAAGCTTCAAATAGTATTCCTATTCATGATTCTTCTCTTTCTCTTACAAATCACAACTGACTTTACATCTAAAGCATACATCCCAAGACTATCGACTTCTTTCCACCTCCACCATTCTAGTCCAAGCCATCATTGTCTCTCTCCTGAACCAGTGTGTGGCTGTGCTTCCATGCATTTGCTGTGGTGTGCTTCTTGCTCTACCCAAAGACTGTTCTTTATATAGCTGTTCTGTTAACACACACATGAAGTAACACTACATCTCTGCTCAAAACCCTACAGTCATCTCTTACTTAGAGTAAAATCCTACTTCCTTACCATGATCTAAACCATGTCTAATGGGTCTAACAGTATCTTCACAATCTTTTTTTTCTTCTTGACTTCTTCTACCCATTATTCTTAACTCTCAGCCACATCTTTCAGCTCCTTAACCATATTTTGGCTATTATTTATTTTTTATTGCTGCTCAGATCTCAGTTTGTTTACTTACTGTTTTTAGATTTATTTATTTATCCATATAAGAACTGGGGTACAGGCCAGAGTTGTGTGGGAACTGTGAGAGGATTCACCAGATGCAGAGTAGGGAACAAATCAGGCAGATCTACTGAAATACACTGCTGAGGGGAGAAGTGGGTGAGACTGGAGAGGTCTGTTGTGCCATGTGGGTCAGCTCCCTGAACAGGGATCAAACTCAGTGCAGCAGTGACTTTAGAAAGCTTCATTGTGCTGCAACTTACCCTTCACAATACAGGGAGCACCCTCAGATCTCAGTTTAAGTATCAACTTCTTAGACAAGTTTCCTTCATGAACTGATCACCATCTCTTCATTTTAAAAATTATCCACAGAGGGCTCTTCCTGGTTGCACAATGCGTCAAAGCATCACATTATGGAGGTCTCCAAAGCCACTGTAGCATGAGTTCGATCCCTGGCCAGGGAGCTGAGCCACATGGAGTGGCAGACCTCTTCTGGCCCGCCCGCTACTACCCTAGCAGTGTACTTTGTCAATCTGCCTGTTCAGCTCCCCACTCTGTCTCTGGTGAATCCTCTCACCCACCACACCTCTGGCCTGTTCAATAAGCATAAATAAATAAATCTTTAAAAAAATTATCCACAGAGTATTTAATATTGTCTGCTTTATTCCTATTTTTTTCATTCATTCATTTGATTGTTCCTTTCTTGCTATTTCTCTTAAAGGTAAAGAACTTACATTCATACTCCGCTCTACATATTCAGCACCTGAAAATGGTGCTCAAAATAAATATTTAATGCTGATTTTTAAATGGATGTTGACCCACCCCACCTACTTCTTTTGAGAAAGTTATGTGAACAATTTAGATTTCTTTTTTCATGATTTGCATTTGGATATTCCCAAACATCCTTCCTGCCAAATTCCACTTTATTGTCAAACTTGATTATATCCTGTGATTTCCTTTTGCTATGCAGTGAAATCAATTTTCATGTATTTGGGTCATATTTTTTACATTCTATAAATCACAATGTCAAAAATATAACTCATAGATGAGCATCGATGGCATAACATGCAGGATGAACATGTCTGTACTCTCAAAATGACATGGAAAGCATTTATGATGCAGGAAATGGCAAACTGTGTTCCTTCTTATCTGTTTATTTTAAAAATATATGCCACCTTCTCTTTGGTGGAGGTAATTCTCAAAGAGTCACTGATGCTTTTGCAGTCTCATGACAGGAGCACTGCCGATCTTTATTCTGGGTTGACTATTCAAGGTTGTTTACATAAAAATCTTGAAACTTAGCGACATGGTGTGTACTTCCATCGGAAGGGTGCCATGTTACTGCCAAGATAAGTGATTCCGTAGGATGATGGCTCTTCTGTAACATGCCCACTGCACATCCAAGTTATCATCTGTTTCTTTTTGCATTCTTGGTAAAAAATAGTATTCTTACCACTGCTTTTTCTGTAAATGATAAACATTCCTTTTCTCTTTCCCAGATTCTCATGCTACTGGTACATATGAATTTGTGACAAATTAACTATTAGCTTACAAGTTGGGTAAAATCTCTTATGTCTTACAGTTTCTGTTACTCTTCTATGTCTCATCAGTAACTAAAAGAGATTTTTTTTCAATATTTATTTATTATTTATACATATAGAACTGGGGTATAAGCCGGAGGTGCAGGGGCGGTGAGAGCATTCACCAGAGACAGAGTGGGGAGCAGAACAGACAGATCTTCAAAGTACACAACTGAGGGGAGCAGTGGGTGGATCAGGAAAGATCTGCTGAGCCATGTGGATCACCTTTGGGGTGGGGATTGAACTCGTACTGAACTGGCCATGGCTAGCTTGCAATGCTGAGTCCTAACCCAGTTGGCCACCAGGGAGTTATTGAGTTCTTCCCTCAGTTGCTGTGAAACTTTCATTAATTGTACATGAAAGAATAAAATTACCTCCTTTTTGGAAAAGAGATTTTAAATAGTTACTGTGGTAAGCAAATAGTGGCCTCTCAAAGATGCCCACATCCTAATATAGAGGAGCAAAGCAAAATGTCAGACAAAATCAAATCAATAACAAATTAGAAAACTGTGGAATTGAGACTAGGAGATGGGGAGGAGTAGAGGGAAAACAGAGAAGAGGGGAAACAATAGAAGGTGTGGTAGAGGCCTGAGAGTGCCTGGGTGGAGAGTGTGGTAGAAGGCCTGTATCTTAAAGGCTTGATCCTATGCCTTTGAATCACATAGTGTTGTAAACCACTGTTACCACAATTAAAAAAAAATTCCCAAATTTTTAAGTTTTAGGCATTACATATATTGCCTAAAATTATATATCTTAAGTAAATATATATATATGTGTGTGTGTGTGTGTATATATATATATATATGTAATATACATAGGTAATACATATATTGCCTAAAAGGTCTTGTAATTTTTCTTGTTTTATTTTTTGAATTTTATATTCTTTATGACTCAGGTTTACTTGTATAAGTGGATTGTAAGAGTTAAAATTATTCTATTCTGCATGAGTAGCCAATTGTGCTAGCCTCTTTTTAGTAAATAAATTGTCATTCATATTGGGGGGGGAAATCCCACATTTTAATTCCCACATTTATGAATGTGTTAGAATAAATGTCAAGAGTACAGATGGAAATAAGTTTGGAAATTAGATGACTTTGTCTTTGTATTTATTTTCTTGAATTATCTTGGTGAATCAAAGTAATTATGAGGACATTTAAAGGTAGTGTCAGAATGATGTGATTTGAAAGAGACTCAGCTAGCCATTGCTGGCTTTCCGTATGAAAGGCGAAACAGAAACCAAGGAATGGGAGCAGTCACTGGTAGCTAGAAGAGGCAAGGAAACAGATTTTTCTAGTCTTCAGAAAAGAACACAGTCCTATCAACCCTTTGGTTTTAGGTTAGTGAGCTCCATTTCTAATATCTTATCTCTGGAACTGTAAGATAATAAATAGGTGGTAATTTGCTATAGCAGTAATAGGAAATCAATGCAGTCAGAGACTGGATTTCTTTTCACTAGAATGACCAAAATATTTTATTTTAGCCTCTACAAAATAATAAGGCTTCCCAGCAAATAGATATACTTTTTTGTTTCTGGATAGTGGGAATTCTCAGAAAAGGAGATATATATTCAGAAAACCTTTTGCATGAAATTTGAGGACATGAAATTTTATTGTAAGTATATCTATGCCCACTTGATATTATTAAGTGAAATCATTGACACATGTCCATGCCAAATACCACGTGACATTAAAATATAAATAATAAATTACTTCAATTTCTTAACTGTAGTGCTTAAGTAAATGTTTTATGTATTAGAAGGTACAGTTGGATTTTCAAATCAAAGAAGAGCACAGTATTTTAGAGAAGAATCATATCATTGATTTATTGGACTAGATGCTTAAGGAGGATCTTGCTCCTCTTCCTTTGTCTGATTAAGCAGGTTCATGTGGGCAGGTCTTCTGTTCCCTACCAAAGCATGTCACTAGTTTCTCTTATAAACTGCCTCACCCGTCCCTTCCACTCCCCCCACTCCCCACAGCTGTATCCATGTAATAGAACACTGATTGACAAATGAAAACATTTCCTCAGGGGTAATAATAGAGGAAGACCTCAGATCTTGGCTATATTTCTGATTTCAGAGAATTAACACCTTTGCTGAGCTCTTAATGGGTTTTAGTCCACCAGTCACAACGTTAGGATAGTATTGATTTGGTCAAGTGAGTTAAGATGAATCATTAATTGAGTTTGTAAGTACCCTTGGAATGGTTTGTAAAGCAGTGGCGTTAAAGTGCCTGGAAATTAAGATGTGCTTTCATTAACATACGTTTTTTGAAAATGGAGCTCATGTGAATTTTATTTTTAAAGATTACTTTAGGTGTATGTGAAATATTTGTTTGAGATTATGTCCAAGTTTGCACAGATTGCACAGATCTCAGCAACAGAGTTTAAATTATTTCTTTTACTATTTGAAAATGAATTGCATATGAGTCTATTAAATCTCTATGTATTTACAGTTGACAACGCTAAATCTGGGAAACAACCTTTTAACAGAAGTTCCAAAAGAAATGAAATACCTTATATCCCTGAAAAAGCTCCATTTATTTGGAAATAAGATTCATAATTTTCAGGCTGAAGCATGTGGTAAGTCATTCAAAGAGCAGTGTTATAATATTACTTTAATCCCCTATACTTAACAATTGGGGATTTCAGTGGAACGGAATTTTTTTTTTAAAGATTTATTTATTTGTGCATACAGAACTGGGGTACAGGCCAGAGACTCAGGGGTGGCGAAAGACTTCACCAGAGACAGATTGGGGAGCAGAACAGGCAGATCGACGAAGTACACTGCTGAGGGGAGCAGTGGGCGGGTCAGGAGAGGTCTGCCACGCCATGTGGTCACCTCCAGGGCAGGCGGGAATCGAACTCATGTGGAAGTGGTTTCAGTTTCTTAGTGTTGTGCTTTAACACGCTGAGCCACCAGGGAGGGCCTAGAACGGAATTTTTATACCTTCTTTTTTTTTTTTTTTTTTTTGGAATTGATGTTTACACTTTACTGTTGTAGCTAAAGAATTTTGAGGATAATGCTTTTTTTGAACTACTTTATATTTTTTCCTTTATTCAGATTTGAGAAAATAAATAGGCATCATTGTCAGTGAGATTTCCCCCTTTCCAGAATCAGGGTACATATAACTCTCAAATCTAGCAATTTTACTCTGTGCCAGTCCTTTCTAGTTGACAATAGTGACTTTTTTTCTCACATTTCCCTTAATCTAATAATCTTCCCTATTCAATATGATGTTCTTCCTAATTGATTTCAATAGAGTAGATTTCAGGACAGAGCATAGAATGAAGAGATTCAGATGACTTAAAATTTTTATGAAGTAATTCATTTGTAACATTATATAAGTTTCGGGAGTATAACATTATAGTTCTGTATGTACTTCATCATGATTATCAATAAAAGTTTAGTTACCATCTACCACTAATCTTTACCCACTTCACCTTGCAAGCCCTCTCTCCTCTGTTCTCTGTGATATTTATAGCTTCCTTTAAGGCTCTTCACAGATCTGTCCCCAGCAATAAAATAAGATATATATTATAAGTTTCTGTAAACTTTAACTCAAGGTGCTATTTATAAGCAGTGCTATCACTCCCAAGCAACATATATTAGTGGCATTATTACACGGGGCACTGAATTAGGGATATATTTAATATATAGCACAGACTTTGGTACAATCTCTTTTAAGTACTTTAAGATCATGTCGCTTGGAGAAATATTTTTCCTCACAATAAGAACTGTAACAAACATTTATGCTATGCACATTTTATATAGATAGCTACAGTTTCAGGGTCCAGTTGAAGTTTACTTAGGAAGAAAACAGTTTATGCATAAGAAGACATCAAGTTCATGCAAACAAATAGACAATACTGTTTTAGAAATTATACTAAGGGAAAAAATTTAGATAGAACTTAAGACATATAATAAGATATTAAGCAATTTAATTTGTGCTAATTTAGGGTTCTGTAAAGAAATTTGTTCTTGCCCTTAAATTTGATTTTTAGAAGATACATATAATTTGTGCATAGAGCTCCTGAGCGTCTTCAGTGGTTCTGTAAAGAAATTTGTTCTTGCCCTTAAATTTGATTTTTAGAAGATACATATAATTTGTGCATAGAGCTCCTGAATGTCTTCAGTTTCTGCTTTTCTTCATTTGGGTTGTTGAAATTTGAAAATCCAATGATTCATGTAAATAACACTGTCAGATCCAAGGGTAGAAATAATTTAGGGGCACTGAATACTGTCCAGCATGAATCATGCACTATCCCTTTTGACCAGAGCAGACTGATCAGGGCTAGATATGTGCACCAAGCTGGGTCAGTCATATTCTCTTTCTTGGGTAATATGATAGTCTAAAATAGTTTACTTGATCTGAACTCATCACATGAACGAAGGCAAAGGTTGCATGTTGATGCTTTATGGGCCAAACCTGGTTTACAAATCTATTGGTTCTGTCTGTTCTGTCTTTAAAAAAATTTGAATTAACTACCAAAATTTGCATATCAAAAGAGTTCATATTAAAGTCTGGATGGCTAGCTCTTTTTTGACTGTTTTACAGAAAAGAAAAAGAAAAAGGATTAGGCAACACTTGAGTCATATTCCTACCTATAGCTAATGCTAAGAGCAGATTGGATGGCAGTTGCCCTTTTGGAGAAAGCATGAATTCTCCAGTTCAGCACATTCCCTGCAGGGTCCACTGCTTTGCTTTGAAATATCTTGGTTCCTATGGGCACTTCAGTTTGAGAACTCTGTCCTATCTGTGAACAACAGTCAAACTCAGGATTTGTGGGCTGGTTACAAAAAAACATAGAAAAATTTTAAAAATCTGTTCAAAAAAGAAATAGGAAGTGTGTGGGGGTAAGGGGGGCCGGCGGTGGGGGGGTTGGAGTAGGAATATACTAGAAGCCGAGAGGAGCTGTAATGAGAAACTCAACTCTGTGAGCTGCAAACTTTCCCTGAGAGTACCGAGAAAATTCCTGGGTTCTTGTGCCTTTTAGTTTCTGGTTGCAGTTTGTGGTGAGGCTGGCTGGACCGTCTGTCCTCAGGCGCCATGACTTAGCTTTGTTACATTTGATAAATTCCCCCTTTTTGCTTAGGGTATTTAAGAGGTATCTGTTACCAGCAACTCAAAGATCTTTGACCAAGGCATGAAAACAAAGGTGCATAGAAAATTGGCTAAAATTTATTTCCAACACATAGCTAAAGTGACTACAATTTTTTCTAACAGATGGTTTACAAAATTTGATCCTGCTTAATCTGAACAACAATGAGCTTGCAGATATTCCTAAAGAAGTCATAAGGTAATTTTGTTTCTAGAGAGACTTTGCTTCTCCACCGCCAATTCTGCTACCCTCCATCCTCTGTTTTCAGCTCCCACCCTGGTCATCTGAATGCTAGGCCTCAAGTCCTTGTGGGATTTATACATAGCAAGGAGACATCTGAAGGGCTGAGGCAAGCCACTAATTTTAAACAGATGATCCTTAAACCCTTCAGAGAAATGAGAAACAGCATGACTTGGTAGTCTAAGTGTAAAAGTGGAGGTTTGAAACAAAGTTCTAAAGCTGATTGTGTTACTGAATTCCCAAATTTAGGATCTGGGAACTCAGTACAGAATTGGGGACATTAAACTTTATTTCATATGAGTATTACAAACCATTTTCAGCTTGATGGAAAAGGTAATATAAAAGCTAAGGATTTAAAACCAAGATGTCATTTTCATAAAAAAAAAAAAAGCACTCCACATTTTATTATCATTAACAACAACCAAAAAAACCCTGTTTTTCCTTATCCTGCACATCTGCACAGCTGGGCTGCTGTTACTGTGCCTTTCTGGAGCCAGCTGAAGGCCTTGTCCTTTTGCAGGCAAAACACCCTCTTGGGCTTTTCCTCTGACAGATGGAGAGAGAGAAGCCTACTCGGATTTACTTTGGAGATTCACTTTATTGCCTGTTGAACAGAAACAGATGTATTACAAAGTAGGAGCATCCATATTTTTAGAGGAGGATACAAAACTATGAACAGTCCTCAACAAAGGGCTTTCTGCAGCACCTCGAGTGTACTTTAGTTCACTTTTCTATATCTCTAGCTAATCTATTGTGATTCCCAAACAGAGTTTTTGCAGAGAAAGTGGTGTTTTAAGTTGAGCAACTACATAAAATTTTAGTTGATCTAATTTCTATAGAAGGGGAATATGACAATGTTGTTGCTTTCATTTTCATATATTCAACTTATCAATTGATTTGTCTATTGGGAATAGAATGAAAAAAAGGGCTCCTTGGCTCATCCAGAAACTAGATTCAGGTGTTATCTTTGTGAAACTAGCCTTAGGACCCTGGCAAGTAATTTAACTGCCCTGGGCCTTAATTTTTTCATCATCAAAGGGAGAACTTTAACTAGGTGAATTTTAAAGTTCTTGCAACTAAAGCACATTATGATTTCACAACGTAGTAAACTTATCTCTGTTGGAACGCAAGGCACAATATAGAAGTAACCAGCTAAATCTAAGGTGTTATGTTAGAAAAGTGAATGAAAACTTTTACTGAAATAAATGTAAGAGGGCAAAATATACAGGTGCATGCTATTTTTTTCAGCTAATTCTGGCTATGCTCTAGATGGTAGCTTATTGGTTGCCTCCCAAGCAGATTTCATTTTCTAATCCAGCAATATTTCTTCATCTATCTTATTGTCTTCATCTGTAAAGTGAGCATAATATAAGTGCCTACTTTATAGGGTTTTTTGTTAGTTAATACTTCATGAAAGATATTTAAGTTTGAGCCTGGGATGTAATAAATACTCAAGGGATGCATGCTTTTGTAATTAATGGTGGTTATTTTTTTCTTCTGTTTCTCATAGTAATACCTTTCTAAATGTCCGTGATATCGTTGTTCAGATGGAGTTAATTAAAATAATGATTATATCAATGCTTAGTGAAGAAACCTCTCCATCCTATTCTCCACTGGACCTATTACACCCAATTTTACTTTATTTTTTAAGATTTATTTATTTATGCATGAAGGAACTGGGGTGTACACCAGAGGCATGGAGGTAAGAGGTTTTCACCAGTGTCAGAGTGGGGAGCAGAACAGGTGGATCCAGTGTGTTTCGCTAAGGGGAGGAGTGGGTGAGACAGGAGAGGTCTGTCAGGCCCCTGGCTGGGCTTGAACCCAGGCTGCCATGGTGATAGTGATGAGACTTACCCACTAGGCTGCCAGGGAGGACCCCAGTTTTACTCTTTTTGCATGGGGTTGTCCTTTGGCTTTGTAATACTCTGCAAATTACTTTGTCCACATTTTACTGAGAAATGTGGGTTCGTTTACTCCACTGTCTCCTGCCTTAAGCAGACCTTTTCCCTCATTCCCACTTCTTTCCTTTACAACCAAACTTCTCTAAAGTGCCACCTGTCTAGAGTCTTTCTTCCCTGCTCAGCCCCTTAAAGTACTCTTTTTCCTGCTCCATTCAAATGACTTGTTTTCAATGGCCACTAATGTCCTTCAGGTAACCAAATCTAATGACATCTCCTCTCTGCTGAATAAAAATTGTATGAAAATTATAATGCTCAATTCAAAGAGCTTTGACAGTTGTACACACAATAAGGTATTTAACATGCCCTTCAATCCATTTTTTTCTATTAACTTTTGAGTCAATTCTTACCCCTCAGAGGCAAACATTATTCTGATACCTATCTTTACAAACTAGTTTTACTTGTTTTAGAACTAAATAAATTATACATTATGTGTGTGTGCCCTTTTGTTTGTATCTTCTTTTGTTCAGCATATATTTTTTGAGATTTGCCTTATTGCATTTGTCAATAGTTTATTGTCTTTTGTTTATCCCCAGTAACATTTCATCATGTGAATATGACATAAGTTATTTTCTCTGGTTTATGTTATTGTTCCCTATTTGGGACCATAATGAATTAAGCTATTATAAATATTCTTGTATAAGCCTTTTTGTGGATTCATGCTTAATTTATTTTGCATTTCAATTCCTAGGAGTCAGTTGTTGAGTTATAGAATAAGAAAGTAGGTATATACATTAATGTATAAGGAACTGCTAATAGTTTTGCAAAATGGTTATACCATTTTACATTCTCACGGTTTTAAAAATTTTAACCATTATAGTGTGTCTGAATTCACATTTCACTGTAGTTTTAGTTTTCTCTTCCCTGCTATCTAATTTACATGAAGCACTTTTTCATGTTCTTATTCATCATTTATAGATTTTTAAAACAAGATCTATACCTTCTTTATACCATCTTTACCTTCTAAATGGCTAATTTAGATAAGTTATTAACTGTTTCTGATTCCTTGTTTTAGGCGTGTACTGATTGTTAAAATTAATGTGCAAGTCCATAAGTAGAGAATGGTAGTGTTAATTTCTTTTTGTTATTTATTTAAAATGTTAATATAGCCTTAGATTATTATAACAGGCCCTCCTGTTGCCCTTATTTTTATAAGTTCTATCATTGAGGGCCAAATTGAAAATTTCAAGTCCTCCAAAAGTCTTGTGATATACCTCAGGTACTATATGAAGTACTTTTTCATTCAAATTTCTAATTTGAATTGTAGATTCAAATTTCCTTAATCCTTTTCTCTCTGATGGCATTTTCTCTCCTCATTTTATGTGTTTTATGTCCTATATCCTTCTAGATCATGGCATGCAGAAGGGGGCAGAAATTGTGGCTGATCCATCTTAGCATTTTCCATAGCAACTAGATTGCTCTATCTTTCATATTAGGCTCTAGATCTACATATTTGTGTCTACACCTGTAACTACCTATATCTATATATGGTGTGATTGTTTATGCATATGACTTCCTTTGTTTTCTGATTTCTTCAATATGGACAATGTATCCATACAAGGAATAAAAATAGCTATTTCCCTTGAATTTAGGTTTTGGTTACCTAAAATACTTTATTATAAGGCACCTTATAAGTTAATTACAACAAACATTTTTTATGCTCAAATGATCAACAGTTATGAACACTGGACTGAAGTAGGACTCAGATGGTCTCCATCCCTTATTAGGGAAATGCAAATTTCCCTAGAAATTTAAAGACTGGCACATAGGAAAAGACCAGAAATAAGGCAAGGGTGTGGAGAAAAGGGAACCCTCTTAACACTGCTGGTGGGAATGCTGACTGGTCCAGACCATATGGAAAGCAGTAAGAGGTGTCTGGTAACATTAAGCAGGGATCTGCCATATAATTCAACAATTCTACTCCTAGGCATTTACCTTCCTTCCCAAGTTAAAAAATACTAATTCCATAGGAAACTTGCACTCCTGTCTTTACTGCAGTGCTATTTGCTATATTAAATTATGGAAATGACTTAAGGTGCCCACAAACAGATGAGTGATCAAAAAAAAAAAAAAAGATCAAAGAAGATAAACTCATGCAGCAGCATGGATTGAGCTGAAAGAGATAATGGTAAGTGTAATAAGTCAAAAGGAGAAAGATGAATACAGATGGTGTCACGAGTATGTGGAATATAGAGAAACCAAAGTAAGAGTCCGATAAAGCCAATTTAAAAACTTTTGAAAGTCAATTACAGAACCGAAGCATGGGGACACAGAGTACATACACATCGGGGAGGAAGCATGATGATATATGGTGGTGGGCTCTGTGTGATTTGGTGGTGGCTGTACCACGTTGGTAATACCTGATGGGGGTATTCTAATATTTTTTGAACTGAAAATTAATTAATAAAAGATTAAGATGGGCTATAAAATAAATTGACACATTACTATTTTTTTTAAAGATTTATTTATTTATTCGTACAGAACTGGGGTACTGGCCAGCGGAGGGTGGGATGAGCCACCAGAGACAGAGTGAGTTGCAGAACAGGCCGACTGACAAAGTACACTGCTGAGGGGAGCAGGGGGCGGGTCAGGAGAGGTCTGCCAAGCCATGTGGATCTCCTCCGGGGCAGGAGGGGATCGAACTCATGCGGAATTGGCTTGAGCTTCTTAGTGATGTGCTTTAACCTGCTGCGCCACCAGGGAGGGCCGACACATTACTTTTTATAAGTGGTGTCTGTGTAATGGGCCTTCTTAATCTTGTGAGTTTCATTTCTAAACTTTATTTTTTAGGTTAAAGAGCCTTAGATGTTTGAGTATAAATCATAACCAGCTAGCCAACATTCCTAGAGAACTTTGTTTCCTTAAGAATCTTTCTGAAGTTCAGCTTAACTACAATCATATTGTCTGCCTACCTAAAGAGATTAAGTTAATGAAGAAGCTTGAGAGACTTCATCTGGCCAGAAACAATATTGAAGTTTTACCAGAGGTAAGCAAAACATGGAGTCAAATTTTCATTTTTAGGCAAGAGATAATTATAACATGGATAATTATAGAATAAATGTCAGCATCCAGTACAAGCCTATCACTTGTGTTTCCTTAGATTAGATGTATTCAGTACCCAAGTTAACAAATAAAATACAGGTACACACTTAGATTTGGGTATTAGATATGCAATGAATTGTTTTTTAGTAGATGTATATCCCAAATACTGCATTGTACTAGATTTACTGTATACATTCATTATTTAACTTTAAATGAACCCCTCATACTTTATGTGACACCCCCCAATATTACCTCAATTAACAATAAACAAATCAGTTATTTTAAAATTACTTAAAAATCCTGAATTTCATAAATAAGAAAATATCTTGATTACAGACTAAATCTATGAAAACTCCTTTATTTGAGAAAAAAACAGTAACAAGATTATTGTCATAATGCATGCTATTATTTAGTGTTGTAATGGCTCTGTGATGAAGCTCTACTTATTCCCATTTTAAAAATAAGGAACAGATAGGTTATGTAACTTGTATACAATTTGCAAAGCAGAGAGAAGGGGCTCAAATCCAAAAAAAAAAAATGATTAAAATTTAGTCTATCACTTATCTTTTTGGTCTGCATCATAAATGATGAAGCAGTATATAAAATACTCATTTTAAGAAATAATGATCAAATCATTAATCATTTTTTGGTATGCTGTAAATTATAGATACTCTGTACAGGCATATGTGTACATATCTGGTTTCTAGTAGATCAAATACTTAATTTTGTATCTCTAAAGGAATCTTGACTGTAAGCAAATAATCCATTGAGGAAAGAATGGACCTGATACTTATAAAATGCATTTTTTAAAAGAACTTTCTCCCAATTTCATTGAGCTATACTTGGTATACGAAAGCTATTCATAATTGATGTATATAGTTTTGGAGTTTGAACATATGCATACATTCATATTTCCATTTCCACTGTCAAATATTCCCTCATGTCCTTTTTTTTTAAATAAATAGGAAACCTTAATGTGAGATTTATTCTGTAAATCATTTTACATACAAAGCCTTGTTATATATATGCACTATATTGAACGGCAGATTTCTGGAACACACTAATCTTGTATAACTGTCACATTAAATCCGTTGGATCTCTCCCTACCCTTAGTAACCCCACCCCACTGTTTACTTTTATAGGTTTGGCATTTTTATATGCTTCCTATTAGGGTGATATTTGTTTTTCTATGACTGACTTACTCACTTATCATAAAGTCTCGCAGTTTCATCTGTGTTGTCTCAAATAGCAGTTTTTTTCTTTTTAAAGACTGGATAATATTCCATTACAACCCAATTTCTTTATTCATTCATCCATCATTAGACACTTAAGTTGTTTCCATATATTGCCTATTGTGAGTTATGCTGCAATGAACATGACTGTGCAAATATCTTTTTGAGATTTCTTTGGATACATACCCAGAAGTAGGATTGCAGGATAAGATGGTAGTTCTGTTTTTAATTTTTTGAAGAATCTCTATTGGTCTTACCATAGCAGCCAATTTACCGTCCACAGGCAGTGGGAACTCATAGTTGTTAACTTCTTATTAGTTTGATAATAGTCCTTTTGATAGGTGTGAATTGATAGCTCACTGTGGTTTTGATTTGCATTTCTATGATGATTAATGATGTGAAACACCTTTGTGTAATTTGGAAAATGTCAATGTCTTTCACCAGTTGTTTAATTGCATCATTGTTTCTTCAAGGATAGGAATATGTAGGCCAAGGAGATGGACTTTGGGTAGTAAACATGTCTTTGTGTTGAAGTTGTGAAATTGGGAGAATTTATTTAACTTTAGAACTGCTGGAATCCATGTTGCCAGTCTTTGGGAGAGCCTGACTTTCATGATGTCATCACAAGAGAAGGGGAAGACATTATTGATTACCTACAACCAACCATACTCAATACCAGTATGTTTTGTTTATTTTCTTGTAGCTAACTTAGCAATCAGGAAAATATCATGGTAATAAAAGACCAAAAAGATAAGTGATAGACTTAAGAGGATCATATATTTTAGATGGCAGATTCCCATTTAAGGTCTGCCCAGCTGTAGGGGGTGAGGACTGCAGAGAGCCTCCATCTGTTAGCTTGATGGAAATGTGTTCGGTTATAGAGAACTTTGTTCCTTGCTCAAGGTCACTCTAAGAGCATTCCATATTCTTTGATCAATCAAGGAATAGAATAGGTATGAAGAGAAAATTCCATCCTTTCTGCCTAGTGGAGAACATCTTGGAATGACAGTGCTCACTCTAGAACACCCACTTAGTTGAATAAAACTATTTTTCAAGAATAGATCCCTAAGAAACATCTACTATGCCAAACTCCATCTCATTATCTACAAATTTGGAATGATATGTGAGAAGATAAAGAAGAAAAGACAGTTGTCATGACTGAAGAGAGCCATATCATTTTGATTTTCGAAATAAAAATGTCATTTCAAAAACATCTCTGCAAATGGTGGGACGCATTCATCAAGTCAGACTTTCAGTTTTCTTTTTAAAATATGTTTATGTTTCTAATTAAAAAAATTCTACAATCTTTGCATGCTAATAGAAATATCAGAACCCAGATGTACCATAACAGTCATATGGTTACTATGGTAATATAATGTTACATTGGGCATAGAGATGAAAAGTGACAGGTTTTATTTCTTTTATAAGGAAAGAGTTATGTTAGCACAGTGTTAAGCAAAAGGTAGATGCCAAAAAAAATTGCTGGTTGAATTGTCCATAGAGACAGCTTTCCAGGAATACATCTGTTTCTGTTTTTTTAAAGGTTCTTTCTATTTTACTTATGGTGATGTCAACTAAGAGCTCTCTATATATTAGATTCCTTAGTATGCACTTTCTGGTTAATAATTCATTTAATATATTTAGTAACCACATTGAAGTAGGGGCTTCCATTAGCATTTCCATTTTGTAAATTAAAACATGGTATCAAGGAATTAAGAAATTGATTCAGACTTATATCATAAGTGCCAGATGTAAGATTGGAACTTAAAAGTCTAAATCTTGGTGGCCAGTTATGCAGTCAGAGTGGTCAGAAGAAATTTAGAACTCAGAATCTGGCAATACTGGGCACAGAAATTGCCTTTGGGAGGGTGTACTAAAGAACTGATCGCCTAATTAGGAAATATTTTTTAAGTTTGAATTTAAAAGAAATATTTTAGATTCTCCATATTAGATTTAAAAAAAATCTCCCTCTTTTGTTTTCTGACACAGGAAATTTGTGATCTTAAAAACCTAAGATTCCTAGACATAGCTGGAAATATTATTCAGATATTTCCACCAAGAGTAAGTAGAGTTAACCTCCATTATAAATGAAAAAATGTTGGTATTAGAGCAATATGGGCAGACAGTAAAACCTGTAGTAGTTGGAATCTTGAATTATACAAATGACTCAAAGATTTGCTGTTCTAAAATTTCAAAACCTGTTTCCTTCTGTTCATTTCTTTGTGGTTTATGCATGCTGAACTTGTTTGAGCTAAGTGAATTCTGTTTGTTCTCAGAACTATTTTAATTTATTAGTTAGGGTTAAATGTTTTTTTTTGGAATTACACACTACTTTTGGTCACCTCAAACTTTGTGAAAATATTACTTTCCAGAGCATAAATTGTTATCCATTGTAATTAATCCAAAGGTGATACTTCTATTAGTTGTTTTTAAGCCATAAACAGTGACAGGTGTACTTTATATTTGGGAATAAATTTGATCTTGTTTATATAAGCAACTTATAACTTTGGCAAATATAATTACTCATATTGTATTTTTATATCTTTACGAACATGTGACCATATGCAAAGTAATAATTAGGAGCCCATCCACCTAGAAGACATTTGATTAAAATTTGTTGATCCATCAATTGATTTTTCTGACTTACCTATTTTAAATTAAGATTTCATTCTTTTTACCCCCTAGGAAATTCTTTGACAATGAAGATAATTCACTATGAAAATAAATAAATAAATAAAGCTTTTTTATTGTGGCATAAAATATGACATTTTTTTAATCTATTTTTTACATCATTATTTTGTGCATTCTTCCATTTTGGTTATAAACCCTGTGGACATTCCCCCACCAATTGACCCATGTGCCATCACCATAGTCCCGTGCACTCTTTCCACCCCAGTTTTGACCCTATTCCCCTCTGTACCTCTGTAAAATGTCTCTGGTTTATAGTTGTTCATTGTTTTACATTTTTACTTTATTACAATTGCTTTTTTTTTTTTACTATCTCTAAATCTACAGTTCCATGGCACTAAATAAATTCATGTTGCTCTACAAATATTGAAAAATACTTATTTTAAAACTGAAAATTTGCACACATTACCCATTAACTCTCAATTCCTCCTCTTTCCCTGCCCTCCAGAACCTTGCAACCATCATTGAATTTCTTGTTTCTATAAATTTAACTACTTTTTGCACCTCCTAGAAGTATGCTCACAATGTTAGTCTTTGTCTGCTGGCTTTACTGAAACAAACCAGCAACAATGTGAAGAACTTGTTCTGAAAACTTATTTTTCTTAAAGTTTTCCAAACACATAAAAAATAAAGAGCAAAAGGAACTCCATTTTCTGAAGGCTCTAACTTTTAGTCTGATAAAGTGGGGAGCAGAACAAGCAGATGGACTGAAATACTGCTGAGGGGAGCAGTGTGTGAGACAGGAGAGGGCTGCCACACCATGTGGGTCACCTACCTCTCTTCCACTGCAGTATCTCTGGATAACTTCATTGTGCTGTGCTTTAAGCCCTTGGGCCACTGGGGAGGGCCCTGACTTGGGGCAGTCTTGAGGGCAGTCTTAAAATTCAAAGATTCGAAAATTTACTCTGCAGAAGTGTCTTAGTTATTGTCTCACAATTATTTTTTTTTAGACAATTGGCATTTTTACTTAAGAGTGTTTTCTGTTTTTTAAAGATCTATTTATTTATTGTGTAGAAGAACTGGGGTGCAGGCCACAGGTATAATCAGGTAAGGGGACTCACCAGAGATAGAGTGGGGAGCAGAAAAGTAGATCTACTAAAATACACTGCTGGAGTTGGGGGGGGGAGCAGTGGGTGAAACAGGGGAGGTCTGCTGCACTATGTGGGTCAGCTAAGTGGCCTGGGATGGAACTCATGCTGCCATGACTGAGGACAGCTTCACAGTGCTGAGACTTAGCCCTGTGCCACTAGAGAGGCCCAAGACTGTTTTTTATTTTATGGCCCAACCTTTCCTTTGCTATTTAGAAATGCAATCATTTCACATTAGTATGTATATTTTTTATTCATTTGACTTTTGGTTATTTGTAGCTGAATTTTCACCAGGACTTTTGAATAAAATGTCCATTGAATGGAGACTTGCAGTAAGACTATGGTATTATTACAGTCATTTCATACGTGCTCAATCAGAAGCTTCTGGATTATTTAGAAAAATGTTACGAGCACACAATGAATTAGCTATTTCTAGAAATGTTGTTGGTACTTTTATTACCATATAGTCTGATCTAGTACATTGAGACTCTAGTTTCGTTCTTGCTTCTTTTTCTTCCCTTGATTTAAAGTTTTTGGTTACTAATTGTATTCTCAAGATTTTAAGCAAAAAAGAAATATGAAATAATAACGAAAGCCTCCATTCTAGGCTTTAAATATAAGTTTTCAAGAAAATTATGTTAAGGCATTTTTTGGTTACATTAGACCATATCTGGATTGGTATCATATTTAATTTCCCAGTGTGACTTTTCTTTTTAAAGAAATGCCATTTACTCACACTGCTTTTTCACAAGAAAATAATAATCACTAGATGAGAGATACTTCTGTTTATTATTGTTGCAGATACCAAAAAGAAAGCTCAGAGTGTTATTTTAAAAAGATATAAAATAGAAACTTGATGGGTTCCCTACTTTCTTCCATCTCCCCTCCCCCACAAGAAAACAACTAGCAAGTTCCATCATGCATTCAGGCATTTGGGAGACAGTTGTAGGGTGGATTAACAGAATTACTGTTAATTTTCTTGAGTGTGAAAAGCTTGTCACAGTTATATAGGAAAATATTTTATTCTTTTCTGTAAAATGAACATTTTAAGTATTTTTCAAATGTCTAATCTCAACTGCTATTTGTAAACTCAAATAGAGTTAGGTATAGTAATAATGTATTTTATTGAAAATGAAGAGAATTAATTTGTGTTTTTGGGGAGAAAAGGAATGTAAATATATACTTGTATTAAATATAGTGGTCTAAATAATGTTAAATTACAGACATAGGCAATTATAGAATATTGTATTAATTAAGTAAACATGATCAGAAATGTTTAGAAAGGTGGCCTCTCTCATCTATATTGTTTAATTTCCCACTCTTTAATCCTGTAAATTACCTGAATAATGGTGACTATTACAGGTTCACAATGACATTAGTTGGACTTTGAATTTATCTTTTCTTAACCACCTATTTAAACATAATGTTTTTGTTCTTAGTATGGACAAGGTTTAAAATGGTCTACTCCAAAAAAAAAAAAAAAAGAAAGAAAGAAAAAAAGTGGATGTCTGCTCCAAACCAAGTTTCATTTGCCGTTCTTGTCAAAAGTGTAGTTCTTCTTTGTACAATTGTTCTAAGTATAATTGTTGTGACATGAATCACTGACCCAAACTCAAGGTAGCTCTAAGACTCCCCAGAGTCATATAATTTGCTTCTATTAATTTATCTTGTACTGTTAAAAATCTTGTTTTCTTTGTTTTAAGACATGTCTTTTTCTGTCAGTGTAGTTGCTATTTGGATAACACTAAAAAATAAGGATTATAACATAAAATAAACCAAACTACCCAAAATAAAATAAAAAAAGAGATAATATTCCAATAATATTATTTGAAATAATAATAATCCAAATTTGAGAGAATCAGAAAATTTTGCTACTTCCTTTCCTCATCACTATGAAAAAAGAAAAGTGCAATCCAAATAATCAAAAGGTGGCTGGTAGTAGAAAAATTAGTAGAGACAAAATAAAACTCTGTGACTGATTTCTTAATCTGACCTATCATAATAACTAGAGGAAATTCACTGTGACTCCAATACCATTATTTGATATCTAATTTTTATCTAAGATATGTCAAAATAACTCATTTTAATAGTTTGCAATGTGTCCTATGCATCTTGGATGAGTAGGAATTATTAAGGTTTAAGGTAACTGTTTTCTGTCTGTCCACTTAGTTAGCTTTCTTTTTTTCATATATAATTTTTATATAAATAACACTTTTGACTGTAGAAGTAACTTACTTATTGTACAAAGTCTGGTAAGTAAATATGTGTATAAATTAGCCTTGGATTTTGAATTTCTTAACCTTTGAGGAAAAGGATGGTGTGAAATCAAATGTCTTTTACTTGCATCTTGTCTCGGGCTTCTAGCCCTTCTGAAGCAGGGCTGTTGGTAGAGAGTGGCCCTTATGGAAACACTGCCAGTTGTCCAGATAGTGCAGCAAGCAATGAAGCTTGTCTGAATGGATTTTCGAAGACTGCTATTATAAGGCACCGCAAACTGGTACTTCAAAGAGCAAGTCTGTATTTTCCCTTCTGGTGAGGACACTAAGCCTGGCAGGAGAGTTGTCCTGATTCAACATGTCCTCTGTTTACCTAATTATATCTGCAAAGACACTCCAAATAAGGTCCCATTCTGAGATTCCAGGAAGGGATGAAATCTGGAGGGATGCTGTATAAGCCATTATACTTGGGTATGTATGAAACAGTAAGTTTTAGAACTCTTTTATGATACTCAGATGCTACTTAGTCTCAGCATTTCTCTATATAATAGATGAAATTCCCTGTGTGAGGGTTATATGACAATTCAATTAAAAAATTTGTTTGGGCCCTTTCTGATGGTGCAAGTCTTAAAGCGCAGCACTATGAAGCTATCCGTAGCCACTGCAGAACGAGTTCAATCCCTCGCCAGGGAGGTGACCCACATGGCGTGGCAGACCTTTTCTGTCTTGCCCACTTGGAAAGAAGAGGGTGGCTAGTAGGTGATGATTTCATTATTAAGCTCGAAATATGAATGAGGAAAGTGACTGTATATCATTATAACATTAAACAATAAGAAAAAATCCCCACCTTATTGTTGTTATATACTGCATAAGAACCTTGGGTTAGAGATTATGATGGGGTGTTAGGGAGGAAAGGGTTACCTTTCTCTCTGTAAATTCTAAAATAAATGCTAGAGAACAGTTTGTGATGTAGTTGTGATTCAGCCTTTTACAGGGTGAAAAGTAAGTTACTGAGTTTTTGTTTCCTTGAAACAATTTACACTTAGTTTTTTTATCTTTTATACAAAGA